CTGCTTTAAAGCTATCATTGCAATTGCGCCTAGAGCTTTGAACACGTCAGAGGTATTTAATAAGTTGTCCATATTACGTCAGAGGTATTCAATAAGTTGTCCATATGACACCACATTGGGAATCAGTAATATATTTTTTGTCATGTCCAATCACATAAAATAATGCCATACTTTTATGAAAAAACTCACACCAATCAAGCAATTTTAAAATATTAGTGAATATTTGTCCTAGTCTATATGAGTGATTATATATTCACTCTGCATTTTTTTTGCAGTATATGTTAACTTTGAGAGGGATTCCATAAACATATAATATAAAGAAAGAAAGCAATAGTAAGAGATGAAACAGTACAAAAAATAATATATATAACTGGTACAAAATAATGCCATAACATTGTTTGGAGGGGTGTTTATTATGCTCACATCAAACTTGGTTGGTAAATCCATTCTATGGGGGGAGAGAGTTTCTGTGGAGGAGAGAGTTTCAATAGATGGAGACAAATTCGGTGGAGGAGTGAGTTTTTTTGGAGGGAGAATTTCTATGAAAGGGGTGATAGTAATACCAATAAAAGGATTCCCGCCAAAAAACATTTGGTTGACAATGTATAAATTAATTTTTGGTCTGATACAATCTAAGTTTAATCCTAACTAGTTTGGTTAGTTTGGTTGGGTTCACTAACTCGATGTCACTTCCATTGAGTTTCTTTCAACCACTAACAGTGGTGTAAGGAGAATGTGAGGTTGACATGCTTGAAAAGCTAAACCTGGCACCTCTTTTTTAAAAATTTAAATAAAGTACATATGTTGACTACACACAAGCTTTGGTATGTTGGTCTATAAAGCTATGTTCCCTTTCTAAAATGAAATTGCATGTGCAATCCTCATCCTCTAAAACAAATAGGATTATTCAAGTATGTCAACCTCTTCAGGCGCCAACAACACAATCGAAGATGAAAAATTGGAGTCGCAGGTTCCATTTCCACGTTGTACTCGCCGACCCCTTCCATTTTCAACATCATTTGGGAGTGAGGGGGACTCCGATGATCCATTAGAGGCAATACATGCAGTCAATAGCAAGCTGAATTATAATTCCAGACTGATCAATTCATGGCACGAGAAATGTGTTGAAGACGAGGCCATTTTGGCTGATCTTAACATTAGAGTGAACAAAGCGTTCTCCCAAAAGAACAAGTACTTGAAGTTGAGTCATAAAAGGAAGCTGAAAGCTGAGGAGTTGGATACAGTAATGAATGATGAAATTAAAGGTTGTTTGATGAACTATATGTGATGCGAAGAGCACCACAGTGAATTGGAGCTAGCATTCAACGAAGGATTCGAAAAATTCCGAGCATTTGCGGCAACTACTCATATAAGTTATAATTGGGACTATGTGTCTCTTGATGCTGTGAGAGAGATACTAGACGATGGTGGTGACATGAATGAGCATAAGCACGTCAAAGCTGCTCAGAAGAAGCCGACCAATACGACTAAGTGATTGCGGCTACCGTTGTTCAGTTGGTTGGGGGTGATCGTGGTATTGCACAAATTAGAAGTGTATTCCTTTAATGTCATTATCTAATTTAAAATAAGACAAATATCAGTTTCATTTGTTTCATATATAATTATTGGGACTATGTATTGCAAGTCATCATGTGTTCCTTCTATCTAACATTATATTTCACAAATATTGAAATATTATTCAATAAGCAATCAATATCACAGCGAGTTAGGAATCAGTAAAGCCCCATTATCATGTCCATTCACATTAACGAGCTGGCGTACTTTTTCTCAAAAAACTAACATGTGAGTCATAAGTAACATACCATGTGCTATACATTGTTTAGTGAATGGTTTATGGTTTATTTATATATAATAAAATTCCAAATATTGCTGAATATTTATTTCGTCTATATCACTGGGGACATGAGTGACCATAAGCATGTGAGACCTGTTAAGAAGAAGCTGACCAATACGACCAAGTGATTGTGGCTACTATTGTTCGGTTGGTTGGGGAGATCGTGGTATTGCTAAGAGGGAGCACATAAAATGCTTTGCAATCAAATTTTCTTTTGTGTGTGGAATTATGAGTAGTTCAAATGTTAGTGTACCCTTTAATATTCTCCAACCGTTCGAAATGTGATTAGCTGCAATGTCTTATTTACACGCTGCTTTCTAATCAAAGAATGCGAGTGTTATGTTATAGAACATAATTTAGTGTTTTAGTTTGTTTTGAAACAAAGTTGAGTTTTTGTTATCATTTTCAAATTTTATAAGTCAAAATTATATATTTGGAGTTTGAGGGAGTAGAGAATGTGACAAGAAGTTCGTACCAATTTTCGGTGTATTGTTTGGATTTATATTTAATTTATTATCAATTTTAAAAGTTAAATCCTAGAAAAATAATATTAAATCGTATGGGGCGACACATGGCAGAAGCTGAATGGGGCGCAGTCAGTGTGTCTGATGCTTGTCCTCCTGTCATTGCGACACGTGTTAGTTTTGATACTTTTCTCAAATTATGTTTAAAAATTCATAAACAATTAATTAAATATAAAAAAAATACACCAAAAATTGCTACAAAGTCCTTATAACATTATCTTCAACTATAAAGGTGTAAAATCGTGATTCTACATATTTAAGTTCATGTTAAGCGTTAAATCAAAGAACAAGATCATAATGTTATAGAACATAATTTCGTGTTTTGGTTTCTTTTCAAACAAAGTTGAGTTTTGGTTATCAATTTCAATTTTTATGAGTCAAAATTATTTTTGGAGCTTTAGGGCATTGAGAATGTCACAAGGAGTTCATACCAATTTTTGGTGAATTTTTTGGATTTTTATTTCATTTATTATGAATTTTGTAAGTTAAATCCTAGAAAATTATTATTAAATGGTGTAGAGCGACACATGGCGGAAGCGGAATGGGCGAGGTCAGTGTGTCTAATGGCTGTCCTCCAGTGATTGCACCATTGTCTATTTTGATCCTTTTTGTTGTTGTTTTTGTTTAAAAATTCGTAAATAAATAATTTAAAACAAAAAAAATACACCAAAAATTGTTACAAACTCCATGTGACATTATCTTCGATTATAAAGGTCTAAAACCATGGTTCCACATTTTGAGTTCATGTTTTTTAGTTCATGATTCGATCACATCGACACGTGTAATTTCTCTTATATTTTTATTATTTATCTTAAAAAATTCATTAAAAAATAATAAAAAATTAGAAGAGTACGCCAAAAAAGACACGCACTTTTTAGGGTAAATTATGGAATAATAATTTAGGGTAAATGATAATATAATAATATTTTAGGGTTAATAACAATATAATAACAATTTAGGGTACAAAGTAATATAATAATAATTTAGGATAAATACTAAAGTATAATAATAATTTAGGATTGATAACAATATAATAATAATTCAAGGTAAAAGTAATATAATAATATTTTAGGGTAAATAATAATATAATAACAATTTAGGATAAAAATTAATAGAATAATAATTTAGGACTTTATAGTCAAAGAAAATGTAAGGAGTTCGTAGCAATTTTTGGTGTATTTTTCTGATTTTTAATTAATTTTTTAAAATAATTTTTAAAGATAAATTGGGAAAAAGTAAACAAAATGGCATGTGGCGGAATCCTAGGACGCCACCTGTTAAAAACAATGAAGGCTCTCCTTTTAGCGTCTGCCACGTGTGATTCTCTATAATTTAATATTGTTTTTCTTGTATTTCACTTCTAAAATTCATAATAGATAAATTAAAAATCCAAAAAATACACCTAAATAAACAAGCAATAAACAGGCAATACACATGCAATAAACATGCAATATACACGTAATAAACGTGCAATATACACACAATAAACAACCAATACACTCGCAATAAACGAGCAATGTACACGATAGGAGAGAGATTGTATTAGAGTTATCTTGTTGAGCATGTTTATTGCAATAAACAAGCAATATACATGCAATAAATCTGAAATTTATAAGTTTTTTCATTGTCATTTCACTTTTTTTCAAAGTCTGTCTTGGAAAGTTTTTGTTGGGTTTTAGATAAATAAATGCTTCTTTTTCAAACAAAAATTTAAAGCCAATGCCAATCCACCCATTTCAAGAACAAATATTACAAATTGGATTTGCAAACTCATTGGTGGTTCTTGCGGTGGCTAATGGTGTGGATGAGGAAGATGGGTCTTTGGACCTAAGAAAAGAAGAACATTAACTAGTGTTGCATGGAAGTAGGTAAACAATTTTGGTTTGTTGCATTGCGTGTATATTGAAAAACAAAACCTAGAGAGTGGATTTAACCAAATCCACTCCACAACCATTTCAGAGTCTCAGATATATATATATATATATATATCATGAATAAAGTCAGTCAGTGACTCATATATATTATTCCCTAATCCCTCATCTTCAGCTTGGTTTGCATCTTCTGTTCAGCTGCCCAATTTCACAATATCTTCCACACGAATTTTCCCATCTGTCACACACAAAGATAACAACATTCATCATCATCATCATCTTCATGAATCAATCAATCAAATTAACTTCAAGGAAAAATCATCATCATCATATTAGATTTAGATTCCTATACATATACGGTGTAAATAAAATTCACTCACCTTTATCTTTGGAAAGGTTGCCTATGAGTTCTTGGATGCCCTCCTTGCCTAAAGTATAATTCAAGTAGTTCGCAGCAACTGCAACCTCATCAGGAGTTACTTTCCCATCAAAATCCATGCACACATATTGTAAACCTCATACCTTTAATTACATAGACAAAATTCCAATGCAGTACCATCCATCAAAGTTTAACATTACTAGTATCCCTCAAAATGAGTTTAATAACAACTTAAACCGACTACAGATTGAAAGACAAGAAAAGAAGGATTACTTCCATTCAGTAGGAAGTATGATTTCTAACAGAACTTATAGGAAAAGAAAACCAAAGACGAAACAAGACGAGTTCACCAGTCAAGTAATTGCCAGAGATCACCAATATGCGCATATATAATCAATTTCCGTCTCAAGGTTTTGAAGCATTGCATCCACCTGATACATAGAATATATGATAATCCATCACGTGAACACGGGGTAAGTAAGTTAAAAGTAGGTAATTCAGAATTTAATAAATAACCTTGTCTATAAGCACTGATGAAACCTCGTCACCTTCAGCCTCAACAGAAGTACTGTCACTTTCATCATGAGCAACTTTATATGCCTTCAAGGCATCCTTTTCACCATCTGTACCCTCTTTCTCCACCATGCCATTGTAAAGTCCAAATGCATTCCCAAAGACAATGCATTTGGACTAAAACAAGAACATACAGAAGTATTCTTCTGACTTGAACATGACGCTGAAGACAGAGTTGCATGCATGCACACAATGTGTAGAAGACAGCTCATAAGTAAATCACATTAAAAGTTAAAAAGTCTTCAATCTACACATCCTTCAAACTAAAAGGGGCCAAAGCATAGTGGACATCAACATCCAAATTCTTCCAATACATCCACAGTACAAGCAGAAACATGGAAATCAGAACTGCAGACAATATTTGTGATGTACGGTCCTCCTGATAAACTGTAAGCAGTTAAACCTCCAATGCGTCTGCATATATCGAGCATGAGAAGACTAGCATGCCATGCATACCTATGGTAAGGGTACCAACGATAAATGCTTCCATCTTAATAGATACCTAATATAAACTAGGAGTAATTAAGGGTTTTAAATTACCTCCAAATTGACAAGTCTCAGGAACGCTTCACGCTCCCTACTAACTGACTGAAATAATGAGTCAATAACAGAAAAAATTAAAAACTGTTAAGCCATAGTGTAGATGATAGTGCTTGAAAATTTGGAAAATGAAAAATGAAAAATCAACAATCATAATCATTGAGAGTTATTAAGTCCAGTCCTTACAGATGCAGAAGCCAAAACAGCCAATGCACAACTTATTTCGCAGATCTTCTCTTCCTTTTCTAGTGTCCTTGCCCTTGCTTGTTCTCGTGCTTCTTTTGCTGTTGGAATAATCATCTCTTTCAATGCCAAATCTTCTTCACTGGCTTTAATTTCCTTCATCTTGGCTTGCTCTTCTTTCTCTCTCTTCCTCCTTCTGCAATATAATAATTTAGAATCTCTGGATGATAGTCATAATATTGATTTCAGGAGTTTTGTTTTCAACATTATTATTTGATTGCTCATCCTTTTTTTATTTTTATTTTTTGGATTCCGAATTTCAGCCAAGTCCAAAACAAATGCATCAAAACTGGCTTAACAAAATACACACATATTTTCCTCTTGATGAAATACAGATTAGCAAGTTTAGTTCTGCAGCTTCCTAAAGCACCAATAGATATCTATAAAGCTATCAAGATAAAAGAAAAATATTCCAACCTTCATCAGTTCTTCCTGCATATGAAGGAAGTCCAATTTCCTTCTCCTTTCAAATATAGAATCTTCATATGGCAATGACGTAATACCGACAGTATCTACCACTTTATCTGGTTGAGAATACAGTGTAGCTAGAACATCATTAGCTGGAACCAACCTTCCAGACACAATGAAGGCCCTGCAAAAAGTGATATTACGGGAACATGATTAGGAACAACAAGAACCATTAAAAAATCAGCAGATGGTTTGGCAAAAATGGGCCAATATGGAATTGTCTGACTTAAGAAGCTCCACATGTACTTTATATAAGCTTCCTAAAGAAGGCAATAGTGAACAAAACAACCACAATTTTATGAAGCAGTCCAATATTCTCCATTTTCTAAAAAACAAACAATTCTAGATAAAATAAAAACAAACCAATCCTATGTTTCTATATAGGTGTAAGAGAATCATGACTTGAAACAAATAATCTACAGGGGCACCTTCAGAACAAGGAATTCATATCCATATGTTACATTCTACAGCAAGCCATATCAAAGGAGGTCTACTTAATGCTCTTGCAATACTTCAAATCTTGCTCAAGCATCTCATGAAGATGCCTGTTTTCAACTTTCCCATGTTCCAATACTTCAAATATTAACACCAAAATATGTGTATTTCAATGGCTGATTAGCATCACACTCACACAAAATCTAATAGCATAAGAAACAAGCAGATTCCCATTCATTTCAATTAATAACTCCATTTCCTAATATCAGCAAGTGGGTCCATCGAATAGTAAGCTAATCTTACAATTCATAACAACCATGTCAACCAAGAGCGTAGGTACTGGTAATTTAGTAACACAACTTCCATTAATACTAAAAGAATTTAATAACCTGTCCACACAAAATTGCAAGCTGCCCAGCCACTAAAATTGTAAGGCTAAAATCTGAAATATGCAAAGATCAATTAAAAACTACAATAATACCATTACCAATGATCAATTAAAAACAAGTAGTCTACTTCATAATTCATAAAGCCAAAGCTCATAAATTAGGCATTGAATGAATCCCTAAATTAGAATTTTGAAAATTAATCCCTAAGTTCTAAATGCCCAACTGAATCCCTAATTCCTAAACCCCAAAAGTAGAATTTAGAAAGGAAAAAAAAAATTGAAATTGAATGACATGAAGATGAAGAGAACCAGAGAAGTAGGTGGTTCAGGTCAGGAGGAGTACTGAAATTTGAAGACGGAGAAGAAGAGAACTAACAGTTAGAGAGCAAAGGAGATGAGGCTGGAGCGGCGCCATGAATGCCCCTACTGTTGCAATAATAAAGAAAAGGGGATCAACGAATTTATAACAGACAGAGAGTACAAAACCAATATCAGAACTCACCACTGTGGAGAACGATGTCGTTCTCCACAGTGGCTTCACGGTGGAGGTCGACGACGGAGGTCGTGAGTTGCGGCGGCTTGGTTAGGGTCAAACTAGGGTTCCGAATTTGAGGAGAGCTAGGTTATGACGATGGATGGGTGGAGAACGGGATTGGACAGTAGCGAGATGGCTGGCGAGCTGAAGCTGAGGCAAGATTTGGGAGAGTGCGAGAGAGGAGAGGAATTAGGAGAACTTGGGCGTCAGAAAATGAATTTTTGAGGTGATAAAGTGTCAATAATAAAAGAAGACTCAAAACCCTCCATTGTGTCTGTGTTGGTTGCAAGATATTTACTGAACGGATTTTGGTTCTTTGATAACCACAAACCAGAGATGGCAAGAGAGAGAGAGAGAGAGAGAGAGAGAGAGAGAGGAGAGAGAGAGAGTACAGAGGCGAGGAAGGAGGGTTAACGATGAAAGAGCGTGTTCTGCACTTTCGGATTGCCTCTTTTGGTATGGGTAATTTCAACCCGGTTTTACCAAAAAGACAACATTGAAAATTCACCATTGGATTTTATCCGACGGCTCTTAGATACCCCTCAAAAACACCCCTTATAACTTTCCACTCACTATAGAAGCACTCCACAGTGCAACACTGGACACGAATTAAAGGCCTATATTTACATAATTAATTACCATTGCTAATTAATCCATCTATAAATACGATATTGTATGTCTCTCCTTTGTCCCATCCAAGCACGACTTTCTCTATAGTCACTCAGTTTTTTCTTTTTTCGTGAGATCAAGAAATTACAACATGTTTTGATAAGAAAAACATTGTCATATGTTCTCTGTTATATTGTTTTCAGCAAACTATGAGTCAAAGGCAATTTATGAAGAAGCTACATCCCCATCCCTATCCACTGCTGCAACATCAATATCGTCCGAGGAAACTCATGCAAATGTTGCTCAAGCATTTGAGTAGTGGATGAAAGAGTACAAGCTGGTTTACTCGAGCGATGAAGAGAAAGAAAAGCGTTTCGCCAACTTCAAGAAGTCATTCAACGTTATAGAGAAATTCATGAAGGGGCCAAAGACATTGTATACCGTAGGGCAGAGTTTATTCGCTAATATGGGTGATAAAGAAGTGAAAGCTTCCATTGCATAGTACCCACCATGGACAATCTGTCTCTTACAAAAACTTTGTGTTTTTTCTTCAATTTGAGTTATTTTGTTATGTTAGTCTTTTAATAAGGAAGTAGGAGAAATTAGTGATGATGAGTACTAATTTTCTTGTTTTTAAGTTTCCTATGTTTCCCATATAGAATACGTCACAAAAAAAATTCCAGAGTAAAAATTTAAAATTAAGTTAATCAACAAACCCACTAAGAAGTTGGCTTTTAAAGACAAGCCTTGAACATGTATTCTTTTTTTCTTTTTTTGAAAATTTAAGATTGTTATTTAAGTAAAACAATGTGTATGAATTAGGATTAAGACTAATAACTATATGTGCGTTAGATTAATTTAATCCGATTACTTCACTTAAAAAAACTTCATAGAGCTCTTTATTTTTAGGTCCTTAGGTAAGCAAAAATCTCTAATATTGGAGGTGGGAATATCTAAATTCACTTGTTGACTTAAGAGCACATTCTTTATATTTCTATGGTCTCCTCATTCCTTTTATAACCATGATGTTATTGTTCATCTCTCATAGAATTTTCTAAGGTACATCTTGCAAAAGAATAATATATATATTTTCTTAGAACATTTAGGGTATATTAAAAAAATTAATTACTTCATATTTTTTGTTCCTAGTAGACATGGGCTTAGCCAAAGTGGTTAGAGCAGATGTGCTCCCCATTCTACATCCAAGTTTGAATTCTTCTCCCCGTACTTTAGATTAGATTATAACATAATATCGCTTTTATAAATAAAAATATATATTCTTTGTTCCAAATTATGGCTTGTGTTAATTACCTGATTATATGAGGATCTTTCAGACAATTTAGGAATGCTTGGAGCACATTTCGTACTAGTTATAATTTTTAAGCCACCAAAACAATAGAATTTGGCATTAGAGTAATCTTTTTCCGCAAGTAAAGGGATACTTCTACATAAACTGAGCGTTTTTCTTTGTTTTGGCTATAAGAGCCCTAATTAAGTTAGATAACAACGCTGCAGTTTTTTTTTTTTTTTTTTTTTTTTTTTTTTTTTTTTTGGAACGACTGCTGCTACCCATCGAGCTAGGGTCCACAATATATACTCATATATACAAATAAAAAATACAAAGGAGAGAGAAATTTTGTAAAAGAAGCCAAAATGGACAAAATTGCCCTTATTTATTTTTGGATTTCCTAAGGAATTCTTTACATTTGCATGTCTTTAATTTGAAAGTTGAGAGGTTTTTCTGTCTTTTTTGAAAAAGCTTTGGCTTTTTCCAAAAGTGAAATTTTTTTTATAGCTAAAACCTAAATTTACTTAAAAAATATATACTCTATGCTTTCTTTAGGGTTTGACTCCGTTTGGGTTAGATATGCGCAATCGCATGATTTACCCTTAATATTAGGGTTTATAAGAAGAATATCCTCCTCACAGCCTAACAGAAGCGCATCTGTACAGATTATTGCGCCTATAAAATATCAAACAAATCAAAACTCATAGGACGTTTACTCTCGTTTTACCTCCATTCACAATAACATCATCGTGGACGAGTTCTTACTTAGTTAGGATTTAGTTACTTGCTAACTATTATTTAGTCCTATTGTAATAGAGATTTATTTTTTTATTGTAATATAGATATATTTTCTATTTTATTTAGCATTAACACATCTTTATACTTGTATAAATACCTCCATATTGAAATAATAATATGAGCATAGATGAGCATTATTTGAATATTTGCCCTACTTTATTTGACAAACTCTAACCACACAGCCCTTGTGTTTCCCGCAACAATGGACCTCCAAGAATCAGTACGCAACCAAACCGACGTTGGAGCCGTATTGTTCATTGGGCAGCTGCTCAATCCTCTTCTAGACTAGTATTCATAAATATGTCCTCTTTTTGTTTATTTCTCTTTGGATTAAAAAACTGATGAGTCAATTCAGTTAAGATTTTTGTTTAATTGTTATCTGTCTTGGATTTGATGTGGTTTCAAGGGAGTCCCAAGTTAACAAGCAAGCGAGAAACGCTTTCAATCGTGGACTTATGATTTAATTCTTTTACTTGTCAAAATCCTCTTTTGGCCTAGTTTGTTAGGTGTGTAAAACTTCATAAAGGAGGCCTATAAATTTTCTCACATTCAGTCTACTCGCAGGTAAATGAAAAAGAAAA